TTGGTACAGTTCTGTACAACCTGGCATAAAATGTCTCATAAAAAATAAAACCAGAACTAATGCAAAATGATGTTTAAATAAGTTACAAAATGCATAAACAAGTCAAATGCTAAAGTAGTTTCTCTAAAGCTCTGAGAATAATCAGGGAATGTTTCAGAAAACTAATGTAAACAAGCATAAACTTGACAAATCACATAATAATTCAGCTGCTAATATAATTATGCAAGTAAATAAAATTGAACTGAGCACGAGTCAGTATAATCTGATAACAGTGTGAATGTAATAAAGCCTAATGGATGATGGCCAAGATCTCTGTACAAAACAAGTTCCAGCATCCACGTGGCTAGTCATGTGACCATGTTTACTGAATTCGTCTGAAACGCAAAGATTTCGCAACGCGACCCAAAGAAGCAATAAATTAATAACGACAACCTTAAACTGTCTTAACATCATACCAATGAGGTCAATGACACAGCATGACAGCTGGCACACAGAAGGAAGTCTGCTCTCAAATATCAGTCTACAGACAACTGTTTTAACTGGGTTTACCGATGTCATATAACGTTATATACATCACACAAATAGGCCTTACGTAGAAAATAAATAGTGCTTAACCAAATGATGAAAATCCTATAAGTGGGTCCTCTGTGTAACATTAAACCTCCTGTGTAGTGATAGATAGCTTTCTACAGAATATCTTCAGCCGGTCAGATAACGTCGAAACAAGACCTTTTGTCCTCTTGAAGGCTTTTGTGTTTTGCTGATTATTAGTAGAGACAGCTATATGTTAACATGACATCCATATTTCATGAAACCTGTAGATTAAAGCGACCGAAAATCGTGTAGTCAAATATTTCTTATATAAGTTACAATACATTCACATTCGTAATGTTAACGTAAATGCAAGAAAGATGACAGTCTCTGGCTGAAAAAAAAAAGATAAGTAAACTCTGTCATGACAGTGTTGATAGTATCTAAGTTCGTTAAATAAAACGACTCGTTTACCGATATTGTTATTGCCAAAAATCTTTGAAAATGATAAATACGTACTGGATATTGACGTATTGTTGGCATGGTTAGCTTACAAACATGCTAGCATAATATTGTAGCATCAGAATGACAACGGAAACATTACGATTTTTATAAAACAGCGTATACGAATAACTGTTAAGAAATATGCAGGTTTACCTCACTCCCGTTTACCGTTTAGCGATATTTATTTCAAATCCCACCCCGTTTCCTTTTTCTTTGTCAACAATACGCTGCGAGGCGCGCGTTGAATGCTGGGATACTGGAGGCTTTAGAAATTCCGCCTAAGTATTGATGACGTCACTGGGTTTCTCAAATGTATTTTCTGTTATTTGCTGTGTTTTTATCTGTAAATGGTTTTGGTATAAAAGTGAAGTTTATCTATTGTCTTGGTGACCGTTCACCACTAAAAGACTTAAAGGAGCAGTTCACCCTAAAACAAAATTTCGGTTTTTGGCTTGCACCTGTGTTCCTTTCTACAGCAGAACACTAAAAACAGATGTGGAGCAGAAACCATTGACAGAGTATTACAATTAATATAACTTTTTGGGGTGTTAATATCAATATGTTGGTCTATCTGATGGGTCCCACCCCCAACAAGGTGCTAGAGCTGTAACTAAAATCAGCAACTTATCAGACCATGTAACATGCTGAGGGTTACTGACATAGGGTTGATCTGAACTCCTGCACGTTTATTAGTCCTAACAAATAAGACATATAGGAACACGAGAAGCTAAGATGCTGAAATGTGTTTTGCCCATTTATGCTCACCTCTCCTCTGCAAGCCCAGAGGAGGAAAATGTGTTGTACACAATCAACCTATACAAGCAACAGATAGATAGATATTCAAAGTGAAGTCTGTTACACACATTTTTTTCTAAACAGTAAATGCCAAATACTGTACTATATAGGTGATGAACTATTTAGAGAGTGCAAACATGCTTTACATTTGGGTTAAGAAAGTCACAGCACACACACACATGGTCAGCTCTGATTCAGACGCCACATAGCCAAACATATGTGCAGGTTTGTGCAGATCGCAAAACATATTAGAAATTTAAATTAAATACTGATACATACATACATATAAAGTAATTGCCAAATTTTAAATCGCAGGAATAGGCAGTCAAGTACTGTCACTGGCTTTCACATAAACAAAATTGTATTTTTAAGGAAGGTGACGATCTACTTGTTCTGCCCTGCAGGCCTTTATGTTTCTGTTTTCTCTCTTGTCATCGAACAAAGCTGGCTTCCACTCCAAAAAACTTAAAACTTTAAACCCCAGGTTTACATACTTATTTACAAATTGATAATTGAACAACTGCAACAAGCAGTCTGTTTACATAAAAGCTTTACCCTAAATTGCAAATTAATTACTATCAAGTTTTTTTTTCCTGAATGGACATTTCAGCATGGTTGCTCAATGGGCAGGGCCAGGAAGCTTTTCAGGGTAAAGTTCTGTGGGGGGCTCTCGTTCACAGTCCAAAGACATGACATGTACATTAATTAAATGGAAAAGTGGCTGGGTGTTTGCAACCCCTGATAATGCAGGGAATAAAATTAAGAAATGTGAGCGATGGCTTTTGAGCATCTCACATTTTCACTGCACATGTTTGGCACTAAAATGTGATGTTAGTGCCATACAAATAGTGCTAAATGTCAAAATACTTCATTAATCCTCATTCTGTAGACTGTATTTGTGATACAATTTTGTCGGCAGAAGCATGTGAACATCTGTGCACTGTCATGCATAGCCCAGTTTCTTTCCAGGCGTATGGTCAGCATACAAAAGCGCAGGTGCAAGGTTAATGCTCAAACAGAACGGGTCCATTGGGTGCCAACTTGACCAAGTGCACACATGCTCAATTGAGCACTTTAAAAGCTGTGATTACACAGTAAGGTATGGACCTTAACTCTAAGAAAAGTGTCACATAACTATGGCCAGAGGGAATCTTTGCTTTTTCCGCGCAGAATTTTGTTAAAAATCTGCTGATTTATGCGGAATGATTTTGGGAGTATCATAACTAAAACTTTACATATGAAATAAAAAGTAATACCCTTTTAACTTGTATTTAATGTCTAAAATGCTAATCCAATTAGATCCACTTTATTTGGTAAACAAAGCAAGCATCTCATGTAATGTATCAACTAAAAGACAGAAAATATTACTTTACAAACAGTATTGTAAATAAACCATATAAACATTTTCATATTAGTTAATATTACTGAAATTATTTAAAAACTGAATAAATATAAATGTGTACACATTTACACAAGTAAATAAACAGAATCAATGATGGGCTAAAAATCTGCGGAATTCTACGCATGCAGATTCCATGTGGGCCTACTTATAACCTGTAACATGCAGTTAAATGTGAATTATGTATTTATCTTGGGCTAAAAAAGTAGTGTTTAGGATTGTAGTAGCCCAGGGTTAACCTGTTAGTCAGCACTCACTTTTGGGAATTTTACCTGACTTTAAGTATAGTGTGAAGAGCCCCTTTGTAAGACAATTGTACTTAGTGTGAACTGTCCCTTTAAGATTTGACAGCAAACCTCAAACGAAACATTTTCCTGTCGACGTTAGTAAATTAAAACACAGGAAACCACCAGCTAAGTTATTCAGTTTCATCCTCTTAAGCGTTTTTTTATTCTTTTGAAAAACCAGTGAACCGAGCTTGACTTATGAAAACAGGACATGGAGACGTCTGTTTAGTTTATTAAGTAAAGCTAAAAAACGCACGCCCCTTTTAAAATGAATGTTCATTCAGACAAGTGAACTATATCCACCACCGCCTTCTTAGGGCTCAACCCATAACCAAAACATCAGTGACCGCGAGCACAAATTTGCACGCTGAAATTTTGCATTACAATAAAATATCTCAGAAAAATTAAAATAAACACAAATCGACATATTAAATCCCTCACAAAATACATACCGTTCACCCGTGAGCTAAACGTATTGATCGATTTGTCGATCAACGTCTAACGTTATAACAAAAAGGAAGAAAGAAACAGCGCGTGGCTCAAAATACAGATGAACAAGCTAGCTCTAACATATCGTGATCTTATTTTAGGGATAGTTCACGTTTCTCACGCTGCCTCGATCATCTGAGCAGGCTGTTGAGTTGTAGTTATGTAAAAATGCGGCTGAATGAGCATAATAAAGGGTACTGTATCATCGGCACTTGTTCGCAGACTATTCCCTGCGGAGATAAAAATACACTGTAGTGTTAGCTATACACGCTAGCCTGCTTCACGCAGAGTAAATATATCAACTTGGCGTACACCGCACATGCCTGCACATTTTTAAAGTGCGTTCAGTTTGCAGGATTGCCAAGTAGGTACGTCCCTTTCTGACATTCACCAATTCAAAGGGCATGTGTGCAGCAAGGCGGTTTAGGAGGAGCCAGAGCCTGACAACACTGCTTTTCCTCCCGCGTCTGTCTCGAGCGGTTTGGTGTGTTAACATGGCGCTTGCCTACACTCTCTCAAAGGAGATAAACAAGAGGAGGGGAAGGCGGGCGAGGATGGATTTCTCCGATGGTCAGGGGGAGGCACAATTATTATAAAAATCACACAGAGCCCAAGCTACTCCCCCACCCCCACCAAGACAACTACAGCTAGACGAGATCAGACAAGGAGGAGTCGCCCTAGCTTTCCACGAGACAAAAATGACATTGTTGGCTTTAAGTGAACTTGTTAAATCATTCTAACGCACAACCGACGGACAGATGTAGCCTTTAAAGGCCAAAAACAATGCGTCCAACAATCACACACAAGACCAACATGCTCCCTCCACGCGAGCACGGAGATCTGAAGAGGCATTCCACGACCTCATTGCATTTTTATACAGAGAAGGCGTGGCTTCGCGGCTCGGCTCAGCCAATGGCAGGGCAGCGGCGGGGCGAAGGCGTTTCGGTCTGTTCGGAAGAGAAGTTCTCTAACAGCGCGAGCCCAGCACTGCTCAGAAAAGACAGATAGAGAATCAGGCGGCTGCAAAGGGTGGCAGTACGACCCTCTTTTGGGGGGGTCTGATTATAACAAAATATATACACACATATATGCATGCCCAGGGCCGCGAGATAGGTCATATGCCGATTGTAGCTATTTTAGACAACATCTAGACGTATATCTATACATTTTAAAAATGCCTATTTTACTTTTCCTGATAGACACGTCCGCTTCTATGAATCAGCGCACTTATTTGGGTACGACGTATCTGGACATTGCTAAAGGCGCGGTTGAGATCTTTATGAAGGTAAAGCATAATTTTACCCCGACTTTTTCAGCTTACTGTTGTACCTTGTTGGAGTTAAGGATCCCTATGACAGGATCAGATGAAATGAATGTGTATTGTTTCGTTTTCTTTAACAGCTGCGTGCCCGAGACCCGGCTAGTAGAGGCGACAGGTACATGCTAGTTACATTCGATGATCCACCATACGGCGTAAAGGTAAATGAATACTACTAAATTGTGTTTATATGTGGTTAAAGCGGAGATATTTTTTCTGACAGTGAGACTCTACTGTCCCTCTGGTTCGTAGCATCGGGTCAGGCGGCCTCCCGGTGGCGAAAACGGCTAATTTTTGTTAAAATATCCGCAGACCCGGAGCAGCGCAGCCTCTGAACATGGCGGACATTTTGCTTTTGTGTTGGGAAAGCTCTCGAGCGCTGAGATGGAGGCGGAGAGATTTATTATCCACCATGACGTAGCGCGTGACGCGTGCGCGGGCCAACTCGGCCCGGATTGGACGAGCAGCCTGCCCTCTATCTCGTGCCCTCCTCTTGCATTCTCATTGGCCACTGTAGCCAGAACGAATCAGCGCGATTTGATTTGTGCAAAAGCTATCAATAAGCAAATGAGGAGATGCTTTGCAGGGTTGCTTTGCTCTTTACGAGAGAGGGGCGCTTGTGAGTTGCCCTTGAAAGCAAGCATCAACTTCCTTCCCTCTCCACTCACAGTACATTCACCTCCCTCCCATTCATACAGTACTTTCCAAACACCTAACAGGTGAAAGCTGATTGAGTGTGTGCAGATTAGCTCACTGAGTCTTTCATTTTACTCAGATATTAGATTGTCAGAACATTAGATGCCTGATTGCTCGTTGTTCAGTCATCATTTACATATTAGGCATTAACAGATATATATGAAAGTGACACATTTTGCTCAAACATGTAATCTGGAACGATACAAGCTGAGATAAAACTGCTTCTAATACAAATACAATAGATCTAGTGCATATACCATGCAGCATAATTCAGTGATGGGGGTAATTTGCTTTTTTCATATACACAAAAAAGTTGTTTTCAAACTTTATGAGTAAGAATTACAGCTACAGGAGTATTTATGACCTGATGGTGTGGTAAACAGTCAGACATCTGTAAGAATAGTATGCAAACACATCTCTTTATTTACAACACTAAGGGAATGTCATGAGCAGATATCTTATAGTCATTCTTGCTGAATGGTTCACTTGATCATTCTGAGACACTAGGGCACGACTAGACTTGCACATAATATGTTCAGGGGCGTCATGCAAGTTTTTATGAGGGGACAACATTGACAGGTTTGGCATTTCTTCCTAAGACTGTGAGTCATGATAGCCTAGTGGTGTAATTATGTGTATAGGCTGGTTCAAATCCTGATCTACTTTTTTTTGTTGTTGTTGTTCAATAATCCATTCAAATTTGCAGCTGAGCTAAACTACAAATCACCCTGTATCTTTGAGTATAGAAAATAAAAAAAGCAGAACCGATATTTTGTTTGAGTTATGGAAACAATTATTATCAAGTAGCAGCTGTTATATATACACAGTAATGTCAGAATTATTAGCCCCACTGAATTATTAGCCCACCTGTTTATTTTTTCCCCACAATTTCAGTTTAACAGAGAAGATTTCTTCATCACATTTCTAAACATAGTTTTAATAACTCATTTCTAATAACGGATTTATTTTATCTTTGTTATGATGACAGTACATAATAATTTACTGGATATATTTCAAGATACCAGTATTTAGCTTAAAGTGACATTTAAAGGCTTAACGAGGTTAATTATGTTAACTAGGCAGGTTAGGGTAATCAGGCAAGTTATTGTATAATGTTGGTTTGTTCTGTAGACTATCGAAAAAATACATAGCTTAAAGGGGCTAATAATTTTTATAAACTCAAAATTAAAAGCTGCTTTTATTTTAGCCGAAAGAAAACAATTAAGACTTTCTGCAGAAGAAAAGAATATCAGAAATACTGTGAAAAAGTCCTTGCTCTGTTAAACATCATTTGGGAAATATTTAAAAATGAAAAAAAATAAATAAATATATATATATGTATATTATACAGTTACTCAGATGACCCAGTTACATACTTACAGTCCTCCACACAAAGCTTTTTTTTTTTTTTAAGTTTTGTTGTAGTAGTAAAACCACACTCACTTTTCTTAAGAGAAGGCTTCAGAACATCAAAATTCCTTGAAAGGTGATGACTTTAGCAAACTATTAATTTTACACCTATAATAAATATGGAACATAATTATACTTTTTAAAACTATTTCTATTTTTTGGTAGTTGCATCCAAAATCAAATTGGTTCTAAAAGTTGAGGTGGCACATAGTCTAGTACAGAGATGCCCAAACTATGGCCTGCATGCCAAAGTTGGCCTATGGTAACCTTAGAATTGGCCCACCATCTCATCTGAGTATAGTGATTGTCATTTCAAATTTAATGTAACCTTGTATTTGTTTGTTTATTGTTAAGTTACAAAAGCTATCTGAAATTAAATGTTTAAATTTAAATGATGTAAATGAATCAGATTTAGTTTAAAATGTATGTACAACGCATAGAGGAACATGCAGAGACTTTGGTGAGCGAATCAAGGAAGGCAGCTTCTGCTTGACTAGCATTTTCAGCATTGAGCTCCATTGTGTTATAAATGTGATTTTTTAAAAATTGCAATAGCTTATAACTGAAACTGTTATACTGCATTAATTAATATGATTCAAAGCAATGTTTTCTATTTATCTTTTTATATATGAAAGGAATTAGGCAATTACCCATAGTTTGGTATATTTATCTTTGGCCGACGGCTCTCAGTGATATTTGGTTTTTGACCCTTCATACGAAAAAGTTTGGGCACCCATGGTCTTGTATGACTGGACATAAATCCTCTGAGCTGTAATTTTTATGATAACATAATGTTACAGGCATTCTTAAAGCTCTGATATCAGTCAAAGTGTTGCTACAATAACATGTAACGATAGTACAATAAGTAAATAAACACACATCCTAATCATTTTCCCTATATAGTCAGCCATCATGAGCTGTTTATAATCCGCTGTGTCGTTTCCCTTGATATGACATTATTGAATATGGGAATTGTGGTTACGTGGTCGTGTTCTGCAGTCTAATTTTAAAGTATCATCCACTTTTTCTCAGCGTCTGTGCTTGAATCAAGGACTGCACTTATTGACATGTGCTTGTGACGTGGTGCTGCCTGGGTTCCTGTCTTCTTTGTTTGTGGTTTGACATTGACAATGAAAGTAGCTCTGTGCTTTAGGAGTTCATTAGTATGGACTATCTGGCAAGAAGCCAAGCACTCTCTTGGGGGGTTTCTTACCCCACTGCTTGTCATGCAGTTTTCCCACCCTGTAGTTTATCCAAGATAATCTGAGGCTGACTACCAAGTGACACTTAACTCTATAACTAAAGTGCATTTCCTGCTTAGAGTCGAGTACTGTGCACTAATGATTCAAAGTGCCATTTGGTTGATGAGATTGTGAACGTGCAAGTGGCAAATTCTTGGCGTTATTATCTTAATGCGTCTTTGTTTGAGATGCTAAAGTGTGATGAGAGGTTTTAACCACCCTGTTACATAAGCTCTTAGCCCTCTCTGAGCTATTCGTGGCCAGCTTGTTCCTCCTGTTTTTTTTTTTGTTTTTGTTTTTTTTAAAGACTTTTCAGTCAAGCAGTGGCTCTTTAGAGTTAGCGACAAGGCTAGCCCGGTTCTGGACAAGAATACATTGGGCAAATACCAGCCTAGCAAGAATCTGGCCTCTGTGTCTGACAGAGTGCTTTTTTTATTTCCTGTCAATTATTCATGAGATTTTCAGCAGCTAAACAGTGAAGAGTTCCAGTGAGCCTCCAGTCCTCACAAAGCTCTCTTTTCCTGTTTGTGTGCCTCTCTTGTTGTCTGAGCCCTAGCCAAGCAGAACATTATTCTTAGCCTTGCCTATTTTCTGAATTTGACACAGATTCTGTCCTTTGCTGTTTTCTTAATCGATTGCTACTTAGGCTACTTGTCACTGAAGCATTAAGCTGAAGATGAAAACAAATTTGTTTTGTTGTAAACCGTGTTGCTTCTTTTTTTGGGGGGTATTGAAGGAGAAATGCAAAAGGAACACAACTGGATTTGTGGTTTACGCAGTGAGGCCCTGGAAAGCCTGTTATTTTTGTTTGGTAGCAAACAATGCAAAAACCTCCATATAGCTTTCTACATTTTTACATTACACCACATTTAGATACCTTATGAATGTTCTTGCAAAATATAACAAACTATCAACCCACATGCTTAAATTCTAAGAACATACAGTGAAAGTGATTTGTTACAAAATAATTAAAGGGCACATATTTTATCTCTTTTTCAAGATTTAAGATGAGTCTTTTGTGTTTCCATAATGTGTCTGTAAAATTTCAGCTCAAAACATGCATCAGATTATTTTTTATACCTTTCAGAATAGTCTATTTTTCTGCTCTGAACACAATGTAACTGTTTATGTTGCCTGTGACTAATGCTAGTTTTCCCCGCCCACTGTTCACACGTGCCTGTCAGAGTGCTGCATCAGATAAACAGCACAGTGGCAGACATGAAGGAAGCAGGTCTCATGTAACGTTTGTGAGAAATACTACATTAAGAAATTTCCCAATGATTAATATTTGATGTATTTGTTGTGGAGTTAATTCAAGCCTTTCTGCAATGATGAGTTACACAATGTCTTTACAAAGTACACAAACACATAAACTCACACAGCGCCTGTTTACTTTGCACTGTTTTTGCATGCAAATATGACAGGATACACGATAATATCGACTGATGTATAGATATTTGTTATGTTAATGTACAAAATAAACCTGATTTATCGTTCACGAATTAGGATTGAAGCGTCTTCTCTAATAATTTTGCTGTAATGCGGCTGTGCTGATAAAGTAAAGACAATAAAATCGCTGTTATTCATTACAAACATGCACTGTTTTAAAAACGTTTTAAACTTGTAAAACTCATTCTTGATCACATTTGATGATCACAGAGAGCTGAACAGATCTTTTAATCCTAATTGCTCTGCGCACATCCTGTCTTGTTGATATGATTATATGCGTTACTACGGAGACATGTTAATATGCGGCTTTCAATCAATTTTGGGTTTAATCTCTTTATTAAATTAATTTTTACACTCTTCTCATA